AATATCAACTCCCTGGGCATTTTGGTTATTGAGAAGAAGATGTTTAAAGTTTTTGACATATTTGACCCCTGTGACCTTGAAAATAGGTGAAGGTCATTAATTTTAACATACTTTGTAGCCCTTCATCCAAGTTTGCTTCTGGCCAAATATCGACACCCTAGGCCTTTCGGTTATTAAGAAGAAGTCGTTTAAAGTAAAATATTGACGCCAGACGGACGGACGGACGGACGGACGACGGACGGACGGACGACGGACGCCGCGCCACAGCATAAGCTCACTTGGCACTTCGTGCCAGGTGAGCTAAAAATTATGAACAGTTTTAATTGCAATAAGAAAATAATAATGACAAAATAATCATTTCTAATTCATTTCTAATTCATTTAGAAGAATAGTAAATGTATCATGCTATATAGTAAATAAAAGTAGTACTCGTAGTGGTGGATGAATACGTTTCCACGGTTTTGACCAATCCCAGCACCTTTAGGTTTTATTACACGTGTGTAATACCATATTTATGACATGGCCGTATGACATAGTAAAATGGGTCAGTTATGTGATAAAGATGTATTCAATAAGACTCATCGGTTTGGAAATATGTAATATCAAAGTTTTACTTATACACAAATAGTATATGTATTAAATATGTCACTATGTTTCAAGACCCACTGGTCCCTTTGTCTAGCTTGACAAAGGGACCAGTCAGCCTTTTCATTTCCGACTGGGGAGACTAAATGAACCCCTGGCCATTTTGGTGAAAGGTGAGTGCACTATCCACTGCGCCACCAGACCATCCATACATAGAATATTCACTGTACTATTTACACTGTCCTGGAGTTGAATAACAAATAACTAGATTATATTACTCACTTCCAACTCTTTAAATCTGGCAGGATCAAACTTCTGTAGGATTTCCCTGGCTTTTTTGTATGTCTCTTTTTCCATGACCTCTTCCAACTGGCAGATAATAAGTACAAGATTATTGATTTAATTAATCAGCAAAATTCTACAATGAGAAAAAGATTACTTTCTTCTTTCTGGTCATAAAGGCACAGGCCAACCATCTGGCCAACCATCCTAACCAGGGAAAATTTGACAAGGACAGATACAATGTGAAAACTAAGTATATTTTCCCCTGAAGTTTCAGAATAATCATTGTTTTGACAAATCATGTAGTCACACAATATATGATATTTATGTACAAATTGTCATCATTTAAGCATTGAACTAATTTAGTGGTCATTCAGTCAATATAAATGCCAACTGGACAAAGACATATTCAACTAGTGCTTTAAGGCAAAGGCCAATTACAATCTGTAAAACCCAGCAGTCATTACCAGACTGATTAAAACCCAGCAGTCATTACCAGACTGATTAAAACCCAGCAGTCATTATATTACCAGACTGATTAAAACCTTGCAGTCATTACCAGACTGATTAAAACCTAGCAGTCATTACCAGACTGATTAAAACCTGGCAGTCATTACCAGACTGACTAAAACCTAGCAGTCATTATATTACCAGATTGATTAAAACCTAGCAGTCATTACCAGACTGATTAAAACCTAGCAGTCATTACCAGACTGATTAAAACCTAGCAGTCATTATATTACCAGACTGATTAAAACCTAGCAGTCATTATATTACCAGACTGATTAAAACCTAGCAGTCATTATATTACCAGACTGATTAAAACCCAGCAGTCATTATATTACCAGACTGATTAAAACCTAGCAGTCATTATATTACCAGACTGATTAAAACCTAGCAGTCATTATATTACCAGACTGATTAAAACCTAGCAGTCATTATATTACCAGACTGATTAAAACCTAGCAGTCATTATATTACCAGACTGATTAAAACCTAGCAGTCATTATATTACCAGACTGATTAAAACCTAGCAGTCATTATATTACCAGACTGATTAAAACCTAGCAGTCATTATATTACCAGACTGATTAAAACCTAGCAGTCATTATATTACCAGACTGATTAAAACCTAGCAGTCATTATATTACCAGACTGATTAAAACCTAGCAGTCATTATATTACCAGACTGATTAAAACCTAGCAGTCATTATATTACCAGACTGATTAAAACCTAGCAGTCATTATATTACCAGACTGATTAAAACCTAGCAGTCATTATATTACCAGACTGATTAAAACCTAGCAGTCATTATATTACCAGACTGATTAAAACCTAGCAGTCATTATATTACCAGACTGATTAAAACCTAGCAGTCATTATATTACCAGACTGATTAAAACCTAGCAGTCATTATATTACCAGACTGATTAAAACCTAGCAGTCATTATATTACCAGACTGATTAAAACCTAGCAGTCATTATATTACCAGACTGATTAAAACCTAGCAGTCATTATATTACCAGACTGATTAAAACCTAGCAGTCATTATATTACCAGACTGATTAAAACCTAGCAGTCATTATATTACCAGACTGATTAAAACCTAGCAGTCATTATATTACCAGACTGATTAAAACCTAGCAGTCATTATATTACCAGACTGATTAAAACCTAGCAGTCATTATATCACCAGACTGATTAAAACCTAGCAGTCATTATATTACCAGACTGATTAAAACCCAGCAGTCATTATATCACCAGACTGATTAAAACCTAGCAGTCATTATATTACCAGACTGATTAAAACCCAGCAGTCATTATATTACCAGACTGATTAAAACCTAGCAGTCATTATATTACCAGACTGATTAAAACCTAGCAGTCATTATATTACCAGACTGATTAAAACCTAGCAGTCATTATATTACCAGACTGATTAAAACCTAGCAGTCATTATATTACCAGACTGATTAAAACCTAGCAGTCATTATATTACCAGACTGATTAAAACCTAGCAGTCATTATATTACCAGACTGATTAAAACCTAGCAGTCATTATATTACCAGACTGATTAAAACCTAGCAGTCATTATATTACCAGACTGATTAAAACCTAGCAGTCATTATATTACCAGACTGATTAAAACCTAGCAGTCATTATATTACCAGACTGATTAAAACCTAGCAGTCATTATATTACCAGACTGATTAAAACCTAGCAGTCATTATATTACCAGACTGATTAAAACCTAGCAGTCATTATATTACCAGACTGATTAAAACCTAGCAGTCATTATATTACCAGACTGATTAAAACCTAGCAGTCATTATATCACCAGACTGATTAAAACCTAGCAGTCATTATATTACCAGACTGATTAAAACCCAGCAGTCATTATATTACCAGACTGATTAAAACCCAGCAGTCATTATATCACCAGACTGATTAAAACCTAGCAGTCATTACCAGACTGAATAAAACCTAGCAGTCATTATATTACCAGACTGATTAAAACCTAGCAGTCATTACCAGACTGATTAAAACCTAGCAGTCAATATCAGAATGAGTGTTTTTTCATCCTAAATTTTACAACAGCTGGTTCCTATATGAATTGGGAAAATACAGCTTTATATTTATTGAATTTGGGAAGATAGTCTTCACTTTTTACTTTAACTTTTGGGAAAATAACGCACTTCTTTTTGCTAGGAGAAGCCTTCAAAGGCACCAAAATAGTTTATTTCACTTAATTCATTCAATTTATAATTTATCAGTCAATTTTACAAGTGGATAATCACCTAGTTTTGTAATACATACCGGGTATATGTAAAAGGTTCTATAATAAATCATTACAGGCCTGAAAGGGGACCTATATCACTAAGTATTACTTAGGTATGTAATCAAAACACTTACAATTTGTTTCCTTTTTTCTCGTAATTCATTCAGTGCAAGATCTGCAACAGTAACAGCAAGATAATAAATAAACCAAAACCTAGATAACAGAATGTATGTGTGCTGAATTAAATTTTCTTCGTAATAAAGTGAATTTCTTTGTACAAAATTTTGTGACAAAAGGACACTCAGAACATTGCCTGATGTGAACATGTACCTTTATAGAGATTTAAATACAGTTGTTTCATTTTGGAAGTCCGCCATTTTTGTTTCAGAGAAAATTGTCTTACCATTTTTAGTTATCCTCTTTACGAAATACCAATGAAGAAATTTCTTTATCAGCCAAATTCTGTGAATGGAACAAAAAATATAACGGGTAAATGGATATGTGTATGCATTGATATTTTTGATGTATTGAACATGAGATTGAGTGATGACAGAAATTAATCATCACTGTCAAATATATGTAAGTGCCTAAATAGTGTCAAACGCTATAATTAATATATATACATTTGCCAGAATAGTGAACAGACAGCCTTCCCTAAATCAGCTCCCTTCTATACTAGTTTCTGTGAAATCAAGAGGCTCCTACAGCAATAGGGCCTGAATTTTTGCTCAATTTTTTGTCTGAACCTCATGATCAGCTCCAAAGGTATTTATACTCTTTCTTTGTACAACAATAGATTTCCATATATTAGGGACCAAGAGAGTACTGGGGTAGGGATCTCAATTATTTCAGGGTAATGACCCTAAGGTCAAGTCCCCAGGAGTGGGGCCAGGCCCTGGACTAATCCTGGAAGCATAATCTGAACCATTCAAAATTGACCCCAGGGCCTAAAGGACCACTGGGGATAATCATGGTAGCATATGTGTACTTCTCTCAAGCCCAGCGATTATGTGTATGGTTATGGCATGTAGATCTCAACAGTTTCTATGTTATGAGTCAGAGATTCAGTCCTCATTGTAGGGCCAGACCCTGGATGGCTATTCTGTTAGTATGGGGGTGTTCATCTCTTCGTGCCCATCAGTTGTGTATAATTATGGTGATATTGTGTTGATCTTCACTGCTATCTTGTTAAGAGTCAGGGACTAAGTCCCAAGTCGGGACTTAGTCCCCGACTCTTAACAAGGAAGCAGTGAGAAAAAGGGGTAAGGCTAGACCCCTGAATACTGATAGGCACAAAACCCAATTTCAGTACATAACACTCATTCATCCTGTAATGGTCTCAATTACAAAATTTGACATTTGCATGTCACAGAGTATCAGAGATTTGCCCTGGACTAAGTGATTCAAGGTAAGCAAAGGGCCACAACTCTGTATAAAGAAGGGTGAAGCATGTGAACTCTGCAAACAAAGGACTGACGGACAGAGTGCAAACCTATAATTCCCTACGGTAGTACTGTTAGGTGACTATTAAAGCTGTATATCATTCTGAAATATTAAAATTATCACTGTATTATCTATGTTTGAACGCAGCTTCCCCCCCC